CCTGCAATGTCACCGGCGTTGATGATCTCTCGCTATCCTCGTCTGTGATTTCAGTCGGCCGGACACGATGGCATCTGGCGGTTAAAAATATTTCTTCCGTGGACGTGCCGCAGGCGCGCGCGCTTTTTGTTCGGTCTCCTCGACAGTCGGGGCTATAGTCGCGAATCTGTACGCTTCGCGAAGTAATTATGCCGGGTGGGAAGTCTAGCACCGCGCCGCGTCGCGCCGCGCCGCGCCGCGCCGGCAGTCGCGCGTGCACATGTACAAGTATACGCGTACAATGTCGGAGGACACGTAGACAATAGAAATAGAAAACCGACACGCGATAAAGTCGTGGTACATCTGTGAGTAGCGAGGCGCCGGGAGGGAGGGAGAGCAATGGTCTCGGCAAGATTTCCTCGCGCCCGATCACCGGACGTTTGCACACTGACTGATTGCTGCCACGACTGACAATCGTGACTTACGAGATTATTATCTAGCGTGCGTAGTTATGCTGTCAACATATCTCCGCTAAATATACATGTCGGCCCGCTTATTTTTAGCGCGTCCGCCAAACTTAAGTTTAATTTTGAGAAAATTACTAATGATATAAGTCGTAAATGCAGGCCGTTTTTCTCGTGTCTTTAACTCTCTTCGGAACTCTAACGGCGAATCTATTGGATTCACTCAATTGTAAATTTTTGTTTTTTTAATGTTACACAATTTAACTTTCTTTATGTTACATCTGCAAATTTGAATTGTTTTTATTAAAATATACTTAATATTCATTGTTTTTTTTATACGAATTATGTCATTGTAGATCCTTAAAATTAATTAGTGCCTTTTGATTTACATAAATTAAATGAGTCTTACAGAGTCAATAACTATGTTGCAGATTTTGACATCAGCTCCGGCGAGTTAAAAAGTTCCTTTCATAAAAGATATAATTACAGTTTACGAAAACCAAAAATAGCTCTTTATAAAACACTTGACATTTTCTGTTACGTCCGGATGAAGAAATAGGATTCTTGGATTTAAGTTCCTTTTATCGTAACGGCTTGCAAACGTAAGTCAGTAATTCAATACACGTATTATATATTTACATCTACATATTTCTGAGAATAGATATCAAATTCTTCATAAACTCGGAAACGTTGGAAAGAAGCAATTCGGCTTTCCCCGGCTGTATCGTATCATGTGGGATCATATAGTGAGCGATTGTCGACGAATCGTAAAATGAATAAATCTTCCTAGAGATCCTCAAGTAAGAGATTGGACACCATACGTTTGATCCACCATATTTTTCAAGATCTGCTTAAGACAATGAGATACATACATACATAATCCACCCCATTCTGTCTTAAGCAGATCCTGAAAAATATCAAACGTATTTTTCAGAACCTGCTTAAAGTAGAATAACACAGATGCATGATTTATCTCATTTATATCGTAAGTGGGTCTTGAAAAATATGACGGATCAACGTACAGTGTCCAATCTCTTACTTGAGGATCTCTAGATATTCCTTTCAATTACGAATATGGCGCAGAAAATCTGATAAATTGCATTTATCCTCGCATTCATCGTAATTAAAGGTCTAGATACCAAAGTAGCGCATTCCTTTGATCTGAGCCGAAATGCCGATAGTCTTCCTATTAGTTATTTCGACCGCCATTTCGATTTAGTTGTCTATTTTAATAGTCCAATAAGCGCTTAGTATTATTGGTATAGAGTATGGTTAGTAGGTGCACAAAATGGAGGACTTATGCGCTACTTTGGTATCTAGAGCTTTAGTCGTAATCCCTTAGAGTCTGAGTAATCATAAGAGTATTGTCGTAACACTTACTTAGACTTAAGTTGTAGACGTAAGTGACGCACAAGCTTTCAAGTATGACATACAACTTATTGTCGTGTCTCCAAGAAACGGCAATAAGTCGTACGCCTACAACTTAAGTCTCTAAGGCTTAAAGTCAAAGTAACATCGGTGCAACTGGAGTCTAAGTAAGCGTTACGACAATTTTTGTGCTCAGATCCTCCTTGGTCCGGATCTACAATAGATGTTTTAAGCCATAAGGAATTGATCAACTACAGTCGAATGCGAGGAGAATAATTGATTCGTCCATTCCTTATGGCTTAAGGCTTAAAAATCTATTACAGATCCGAGGTTAATATCGCTCGCAGCGGTCGTTCGAAGCATCGTTCACGACACATGCGCTCGTAGTAAACGGAGCACGTGGCCCTCAACAAGCCCCGATCCGCCACGACTCGCGATTCATGCGAGTGTACGTGTGCATGCGCGTCGATACTTTCTTCGCGGAGCGAAGTGTCGCACGAGCCTGTGCGTGTAAAAAAAATGCGCTGGAGGCGTGCGCGTGCAGCGCAGACAATGTTCATCATTGTAACGAATTATAATACACGTTCGCGACACACAGCGGTACTGGTCCATGCCAACATTATCGGCATCCCCACTGTCCATTCGTTGTTTTTCTTGTGTGTGATTCGCATAATAGGCTTGCGGCATAATGCGTATCGAGCACGAGCAGAGACGCCGATGTTATAATCCTGACCTTCTTGATAACACGCTTCTGGTGTAACGATTCGGCGCGCGATGATTAAGGGCGATGTGATCTTTTGTTATTTTCAAGAAAAAGGTACTTCTTATTTTCGTACATAATATTACTATTATCTTTGATATTATAATTATTGAAATTGTTTTTGCATAGACGCTTTTTTTCTTCGATTTGTACGATGAGATGTGTTTGGCAGGTCCGTATAATAAATAATTATAAAGACGCGTTGTCAATTAAGAATATTTATATTAATAGAATATTATAATACTGATATTATATTTAGCCCTCCACAGAAATTCGGTCGGTCTTTCGATTCTTTATATATCGTAGAAGGAAATCACGCAGATTCCTGATGTCCTTACGCAACGCATCTCGCGTATAAATATTATTTTTATCTTCACAAATATTATCTTTATCGTAAATTGGCTCGCAGGGACGAAAATCTTTGTGCCCGCTATTCAAAACAATTCCATTTAAAATCTTATAATACTTCCTTTTTTAATATATGTACTAATTCTTATTTATTATATATTAATGTTATTATTCTTCTTTTAATATATAACTAATATATATTATATAAAATAATATATTGTAATTTTACTGAAGAATACATTATTATCTTAATATACTTGTAATACGTACTTCCTTTCTTAATATTTGATATATAAATGTATTTTTGCACAAATATGTATTTTGTCAGAATTAGCAACGCAAATGCAGTTTATATTTAATCTGTCTCTTGAAAAATTAATCGATCAATCCACACACACACACACACACACACACACACACACATACATCTTGGGGGAGGATTGCATACATCTCGAGTGATGCACTATATAAATATTATCTTTATCCCCGCGATACAGTTAGTGGTGCCTAAAGCGAAATGGCCGATGACAGCCGATGTCATTATATATTTCATAACTTTATGATACATCGCTTTCATGTTCCGAGAAGATGCGCGCGGCATTCTCTCAGCACCGTAAATCGTTCTCTATTATGTGACTAACAAATGTCTGCGTAAACGCGCAGTAATAAATCTCCCCTTGTAATTATACACATCACAGGGGACGATTTTGAACGCAAAACGACGTATAAAACGCATCCTCCAGTTGAAAAGTCATTTAAGTCTAAAAGTCATTATCTTTGACATATATATGTGTGTAATGAACCTTACCTCTATACATTAATCGTGCAGCTCAAAAATGTAGGTCAGGCGCGTTAATGAGAGAAATCATTGACATATTATTGGATGAAATGCTCGATTTTTTAATACAAATGCACTTTTTTTTTTACTTGCTTAATGCCACGTATGCCGTATACATTCGAAAATTTGAAGAGAGAGAGAGAGAGAGAGAGAGAGAGAGAGAGAGAGGGAGGGAGGGAGGAAAATTATTATTATTATTATTATTATTATTATTTCAGTGTTTTATTTCATTGTGTTATAAGTCCGAAAATAATAGACGCACAGTCGTTTGAGGTAAATGTATTAAAAATAAATTACATTATAGAATTACTATTTTAACATCTAATGTAAATGATGATTGTGACCGGGGATTTAAAGTCATTAATTTGTTTTATCGAGTAGATTATTTCGGAAACATCGAAACTTGCGTATCGCCGGAAATATGGCTAATCCCGCTTTTCGTCGGATGTTGATCAACGAAACCGCGAACTACGTTTGTTCGTGACCTCGCAACCTCACTCGCGTTCGCCAGCAGAAGATAATCGTGGCTAATGTAGTTTTCTTTCTTTTTCCCTTTCTCTCTTTCGTCTCGTCTTCATTGCGTCTCCCGCGCGTTCTCGGTCAGTCGATTAATGGAGTATCATTCGATTAATGGAGAGAGATTGTTGCGACACGACAGCGCAACAATAATTCCCGCCCGATAATTACGCCTCGCGTTCAGTTACGTAACTTAACGTTCCTCCACTTATCCGCGTGCCGATATCAGCGACGAGACGCCGCTGCCGTTGAGCCAACAGACGACCGGTCGATCGTGCGATTTGGATTTAGATTTGGTAATTTGTAGACGGAAATGAATGGACGAACTTGGGCTAGTCCGTGTCTAAATTAACTCCGCGCCAGATGGCAGATAGTTTAGACGTCGCGCCTGCCGGGGGCGACCGGGTGACGTAAGGAACGACGTCGTTCCGTCGCTCGCTCGTACGATCCTCCACTAGAGATGATGCTGAAATTGTACCCTCTACTACTCTTTCGTGCTGCCAGCGGAAAAACTGGATAAACCGCAGTAATCAACACAACGTAAATAAATTCTGTGACATTTTAAGTAAATACTTTTTACAATACGTAAGAAAAAAAAACGAGCCATATCATCAAGCATATAGAGATACACATCCCAATTGAGTACGCCGATGCAAGAAAAATAAAAAAGAGAAAGCAAAAAAGACAAAAAAACACTCAGCAGTCTCCCGTTACGCTTGTGTTGCAGACTGAGGATGTCCTCAAAGAGGAAGTCGCCACCAACGAAGCTATCGGAGGGCGGGGGCGGTGCGGGTACAGTGGCAGGCGCCAACGAGGAGGAGGAGGACACTACCTCGCCGGTGGCTGGTTCCGGTGGCGAGGCAGCCGTCGTCGTCGGTGAGGAGGGTGCCACCACCCCCGTCGACATTGAGGAGTGCTACTCCCATCAGAGAGGCGGCGAGTGCGAGTCCTCCGGCTGCTCATCGCCGGCGACTACCAGTGAGCCGGATCTACGCGACTCGCCGTCGCCCTCATTGAATTCCTTGCGGACGGCCAAGCGACAGAGGCTGTTGTTTCTGTCGAGCCAAGAGACCATCACACCGTATCACCATCCTCATCATCACCATCATCACCACCACCACCATCATCACCATACGAACACGTCGTCGTCGTCGGGTGGTGCACTGGAACCGGCGAGCTCCTCGGAGTGCGGCTCGCCACCCACCCTCCTTTCCGTCGATCCTTATTACTCCCATCATCCACATCACAATAACAACAACAACAACGTCACGCAGAACAACAACAACAATAATAACGGCAGTGGTACTACCGCTGCAGGCAGTAAAAGGTCCATGGACGACGTTCTTAAAAGACTAACGTGCAAGATGAATAGCGAATCCTTGTCTATCCAGGACGATACCACCAATACCAGGCGGACATCACCGCCGCTCTCTTCCACGCCAACCGGTCACAATGCACATAGGTTAGTCCAGGTGATCAGATATTGAAATAGAGAATTAGAGCAAGATAAAACTCATTATTTTCTATTTTACATTGTCTGAGACAATAAAAAAAGGACTAATTGATTTATCGTTTGACTATCGAATAATGAATAAAGCAATAGATTCAATAGCTTTTTAAGTAAATACATTCGAATATTAGTTAATAGTTTTTTTTTTATTCTATGGGGTATCTAGCAAGTTTGGTTATCAAAAAGATAATATGTTCATCATTACTTAAAATTATAATGTATAAGAAATGTAAAAATATAAAAACAAAGAAAGAAATCGCTTTTACTTTTAAATTTGCTGTGCTCTAGATCTTTCAATTGTCATTTTGATTCTCTTCCGTTTAATATCGATCCGGTTGCTATTAACGCGGTCAGGAAGTATCCTGCAAATAACAGGAAATGAGAACAGCGTGCCGTTTGAGAACTTCTTCCAATTTTCCTGATTATTTAGACTCCGTTACGATTCGTGTAATCCATGCGACGTATCTCGATAAGCGATTCTTATGCAATTTGCATATATTAATTATTCGATGCCGTGTTCGATCGACATTGTAACAGTGCACTACTCTGTTGCAATATCTGCCTCATAATGCGCCACCGTGTCGCCGAGGTTATCATATCTCTCCCACTTTACATAACTGATTAATATAATATAATGGTAAATCAGAGACGGATGTTGCTTTTTGCAACTTTATTACGAGTGCCTATAATTTTTGCTTTCGCAACTAATTGCCGACTGTACATATAATCGAAGCATATACAAATACTTATTTGAATTTAATCTCGATTTTATAACGAGGAGTTAATCACAAAATCAATTGCAAATTGTATTTATCGGTCAAACAAATTGACATGCTATTATTACTGTATAGTCACAATAAAATTTATCATTTTTAAAGCACTTGCAACAATTCAATAGGGGAACATCCCCTTTTTTGTAATTGTTACATAGCAAATATGTTTTGTTTTATACGATATTACGTTTTGTATGATATATTTTTAATCAAATAAATGTAGATTTTATATATATTTTCATATTTGAAAAAACTATAACATTTTTTCTAAATTCTCTGGAAATTGAATGTTTAAATTTTGAAGTTTAGCTCGTAACGTTATCGATATTCTTCGAACACAGCTTACAATGCGATATTTCACATTCTCCATCATCCGTTGTTATCGCCGGAAATTAGGGCGTCAGCTATAATTTTGTTTTCTAAAAGAAAAGACCACTGTGTCGTTTCTTGCCTCAACATTCTCAAGGCCTGGTATCTCGGGTATAGTAACATGCAACTAACGATCGGGCGGGACCTAAAAGAGACTATTGTCCCGAAACCATAAGGCCAACCTAGCAGTCTCTTGGATCTCTATTGCTGTACAGTCATTTGACAATGACCAGTAATTCTGGAACAAAAAGCAGTATAACATAAAACATACCGTAATAAAACATAACTCGAAACAATTATTGTCAAATACAAAATTTTCAAAATCAATTTTTGATTTTGGTTTAATATATTCTGAAATAGTCTTAATTTAATGAAAATCATTGTATATCTTGTAGTCTGTCAATAATTAATCATAATATTCATATTATCTGATCTTGTACCGTTAGTTTTTAAACGATTAATATTAACATTGAGGATTTTTAATTAATATCAACATTGAGGCTTTTTAATTAATAGCTATAATTTGTATCTACAATTTTAATAATTATATCGTTCTTTGAATTATAAAAAGCTTTTATTAATTTACTAGACTGCTCAATATGACAATATGTTCTTTATATAGTAATAATCTACATCAGTTAATGTTAGTATATCTTACATTAATAGATACAGTTCAGTTTTTCATTTTAATGCTATAACAATATTTAAATTTATTATATGATACAAAGACTGCGTTCTTATATTCACTACCAGTGCTGAAAATGCATGTAACATATATTATGTGCAGATTTTCAGCATTAACAGTGAATAATCGGAACGCAGCGTGCCTTAATCAATTCCGTGATAATCCATGAGACAATATCTGAAAACTGACATATATTTTTCAACGATTATTTTGCGTCGATAATAACCGCTCTAGATAATTAAGTCTTTCAATGAATTAATTTGTTTACATAATTTTTTTTTTCTTTATTCGGTAAATTGTTCATATAGCGCCGAGAATACAGAATCTAAATTGTGTACACGTGGCTAATTATGATTGTGCGTCATACAAGATGGTACGATAACGCTACGATGATGTTACCATAAAATTATACTTTTGCGTTTCCAGATTATTCTACAACATACTTGTGACGCATTGATTGATATTAAAATTAGAAATTGCTGACTTAATGAAACGTTTAAGCAAATCATTTCAGCTACAATCAAATTGTTATGAATTTTCTAATCACTGTTATTTTTTTAAGACTATTATTATTGACACAAAAAGTGTATTGCGTTATGATTCGCGTAAAATAACACCTGGCAATATTACACGAGGAACAGGCAACAATAGAATAGCAAAAATCTCTGCAAAAAGTATCTTCCCCTCAAGCTAGATGTATAACGCAATGTCTTATGTTGACGTGTAGTCATTGAAAGTAAACGAGTGAACTTGGCAGCGTGGAGAAGTGGTAGCACAGAACTGTGCCAGTCTGCTGCCCACATCGAGCAGACGGCTGGCCAAGATTCTTCAAAAATTTAGCCAACAGTACAACATGCACTTACGTTGACGTTTACCTTCTTTTTGGAGCACGTTCAATTTGACTTAGCGTATATCGAAATAGCATGGATTCGATTTAAAAATATACGGCTAATACTCACGAACTTCTTATCACGCTGGAATGTATGCGTAACATTTAATACCAAGTGTAATTTGTTTTCAGTATAGTTCCATTAATTTATTCTTAAGCTGAATATTAATCGTTAATAATTTAATTCGTTGTTTACTTGGAATGTTGCGAAGATAATTCCAGTGTGTCATACCAATGAGTTTCGAGGAAATCGACACGACTCGGAGGTACTTTGAACTTGTGCAAATTTGCGTGTGGACATTCGATAGGACGTACAAACAACTGTAACAACATTGTTACATAAAGCATCTCGAATTCGTGCATCGTATATGCACTACTGACGTATCGCGCGCGAATCGTATTATGAGCACGTACGAGCATTTGAAGATGCGAGAAGACTTATAGAGTAGACGAAAATATCGGGCATATACATTAGCTCTCAGCTATTCTAAATATAGTAGGTATTGGATAAAAACTCCCGTGGAGTAACCACGTCGCATTATGGACCGGCGATAACTTTGATACATAAAAACTTCTGATATTTCCAATGTCGGAGAGCAAAACGACGTCGGCAGAAATTTTTGTCGATAGTCAGCTAAACAGTGTAATGCTATTAAAATAATCGATTTACAAAAAAGTAGAATAATTCTTTTTAACAAATGAGAATTTAGAGATACAGCAGACATTATTAAATTTGCTGATTTTAACACAGTGAAGTTGAAACACTTCTATTTTGTGGCAGAGAGAAACCGAGATAAAAGATTGATAGAAACATAAATAGCTTAATGATTTATATATATTGCAAGATAATGGATTAGTAACGACATCGATCGTGACGCTTAATAACTTAGACATTTAATTATCGACAGTTATATTTAACGATATTAGTAGTTTTGATGAAGCGCTGCTCTAAATCGAAGAGATCTCCCATGAAGATTTCATGTTAGAATCTCGGCGATAAAAAATGCGAAAAGATCTCTTTATTCTTATTGATTTCATCTACAATCCGCGTGCTATCAATTTATCATACATTCTCGCGTCCGTTAGTCCGTGTAGACAAGAGCGAGTTATGTATGCAGAGAATAGAACAAAAGAGACGAGGCGATCATTTATCTTGGCTCGCGCATGAAATTAAGCCCTTTGAATATCTTAGCGTGTGATAATAATAACAGAAGGCTTTTTATTTTTAAAATTGTTAAACATGAACGAAATCTGTCGCCGAACTCACATCATCATAATTAGGCTAAAGAAAGTTCGCGTAGAATTAAAGCTTTTCGCGAAATTGGATGCGCATTTTCGTTGACTGTCGACTGAACAAGATAGAGTTAAATACTCAGGAAATATTCAAATATCATCGTCCGTTTAATTTCTACGGTGAAGTTAAACGGACTGTAATCTCTAATAATTATTTCACGAATTAACAACTGAGAAAAAACATTATTAAAAATTTCATTCTACATCTCACACATTTTTCTGTTTTAAAATATGCGACGCGATGTTTAATTTTTTATCGAAGAAGACTTATGAGACATTTTATTGTAAGAAAAGAATATAAATGTGATATTAGAAGCTTTCCTAGCTGCTCTGGCTATTAGTCAGAAATTATTAATCTGAAATAATTAAGATAATCAAGCTAGCATTGCAAATCTGGAAATATCAGATAAATGATGGCTGCATATTGTAAATGAGAAAAAAGTACATATGTCCATGACTTGACGTAGTCGGGACAGCTTAAGCGTTTGTGCTGCATGTCATTTGCGTATATCGTAATGTAACTTTAATCGTTGATTGTAATGTCATGAAGAGACGCGGCTGGCCTATATTTTTCGCAACGTAAGCTTCCTCATTGTCGACATTATCACCCTCGTTCTTTTCGCTCATATAGGCTTTGTTGGACCAGTGGTCGCCTAAGCGCCGCGCATACACACAACACACACACACACACACACACGCACGCACACACGCACACACAATACGACCTGTATCATTTATTTGCGGACCATTTTCTTCGACATAAAAGAGCAGAATCTCGAGGTCGGTTCTGGACGGGTGATCAAGGGCTGGGGATCCAGGGAACGGGGGAGGACTGATGGCACCGGGATGCCCCATCACGGACGCAAACACTTGCCCTGTCGTGATTGCGCGGCCGCGTCTCATTTATTATTCACCTGGCTTCCAGCGTCGCGTACGCGACCACCTACCATCTGGTTCCAACCTAATGCGCTGGAGGCTACCTGCCTCTTTCTCACTCGGCGGTCTAGGAACAGTTTTACATCGACAGATATTCTTGACCGACAGTTATTATTTTCTCCTTTTGATATTAAAAAAGTTATAATGATTATTAATAATGAACAGTTATTTAATTTAATAATTAAATAAATTAGACAAGTAATTATTATTTGTAATCAGTTAATAAAGAAATCAATATTAATAATGGAAGATAATATGGAATATAGAAATGTTGATAAAAATGCCGATAATGATTGATGATTCATCGTTGATGATTGACATAGAGAATAAAATCCGTATTTATTTCTTATTGTATGAAAAGAATTATTTCAGTTTCCATCTATTATACAATCAGTAGTTTTAAGTATAATTTCTTTCTCGATAATAATTATTAATTGCTTAATTAATAAATATACATGTTAAACAGAAGATTTATTTATTTCGAAATTTGTATGTATTTTCTTAAGTATTTGTCGTACTTTTGGTTTACGTTTGAACTTTTGGAGTTAAAGCAATTCAACGAATAAATGTTTTCTATCTCTCCCATCCATTTTATTTTCTTTATTTGATTGAACGAAACTGACTTGGGTTCGAATCATATGTGTTGTAGTTGCAGTGGAAGCACGACTACCACCGTGGCAAATAACGTGGCACTATCACCTCCGGATTCTGGAAGGATATCAAACACGGAGGCGCAAGTAGATCAGGACGGCGTGGCGGCCCTTCATAGGATCCTTTGCGCCGAGAGCTTCGCCGAGAAGGAGCGCCGACTATCGGAGATGATCCTGCAGCTGCAGTTGCTTAGGGAACGTCTTGTACAACAGCAGGATCAATCGAAGGTAGGCAATTTTTTAATGCATGACTGAGCAATATAGCTGAATTATATTTGTAAATATTGAATTATTATTATAATGCTAGATGTGCGCTAAATATCTTGAATACAAATGTTGCAACGTATTGAATTATAAATGATTGAAAATTTACTAATTAATCTGCATGAAAGGTCTGTTACCTAATGAAAATATTTTTAAGATTTTTAAGATAAAAGAAAAGATATTTTTACAACATATAGTGAAATCTTATTTGAAATGTTGAATGTTTAATTTTTGTTTTTTATGACTTCGGTTTTACGTATCAGAGTTCAGCAGTAATTATCTAGAATATTTCCGTTTTAATATCCTAAATGACGTTTTTCAATTATCATCTGATGAAAATGTTTGCCTTTCTCAACACTTGTTGCACTCAAATTATTTATAAAGAAATGCTGTATCATAAAAATCGACATATTATATAGATAACATACTCTATCTTAAAAATCCAATATAATGGAAATTTTGACGGCTTTTCTTACGCTAAAAACCATTCAAAATTTGTGAACTAATGTAATGAAAGCACAGCGTAACAGTTACATAATTTGAGTGACTTGTCCAATTACGTCACATCATGCGGAATATCGTTTACGATTAATAGAGGAAAAAAATAGAATGCGTGCCGCATGGCCGTGACGAAATAGAGAATGACGGATCAAGCTGTGTGTCTCAATATAAATCGCCCAGCCAGCGCATGTTGATTGACGAGGGAAAGTGCATCGATTACCGCGGAATCATAATTACGCGGTTGAATCGCGGCCGTGCTGGTATATCGCAGCAACGATAGAAAAATGAGAAACCCGAGTTTCCACAACGCGATGACCGGTATGCCGTTACGACCAGCTTAGTATGTTTCCATTTTAAAAAGACACCGCGCGATAAAGCAAAGCATTCTCGCGACTCCGGCGACTCGTCCGGCGAGGATTGTAAGAATAATTCATAATGTCCGCGCGCAGTTATGCCTCTCTGCAAACGACATAAAAATTCTACGCGCGTTCCTTCCCGCGCCATCGGAATGTTAAGCCGTATTCTTCTGCTTAAAAGCATCTCCGCGATGTTCCTGACAATAACGTCAAGACCTCTCTCTGTGATATTACCGTACTAATAGCGGCGAGTCCGTTGCACCTCCGCGAGTAACAGTACACCTTTGATGCGCCTGCATCACGCCAGACCGGCCGGACTGCAATCCGCGAGCGCACCGCATCGGGCGCGAACGTTCAGGACACAATGAGATCTCATTGAAATCGCTCTAGCCTGCGTATCGGATTCGATAACCGCATCGAGATTAGTATCACCTTCCGTCTCACGGCGATGACTCGATGCTTCGCGCGGCCTCAAAAAGCGCGGGTCATCGCGTGGCTGCGGCGAAACGCAACCACGCCGTCGCCGCCGCCGCCGCCGCCGCCGTCGCCGCCGCTCGAAGGAATCGCGGGAGACCGGAGGAACCTGTCTGCCCGCAAAAATGCGAGCGCGTGCAGATAATGCCCGACGTGTATTACCGTTATTATGCCAGTCATTTACGTGCTGTGGAAACGATGTTTCTTCCCCGATGTCCCGCTAAATTCGCCCGCCGGCGAAATTCTATACGAATGCATTCGCGTAAATGTCCGTCATGTGCGCGCGGCAGGTAGAGGCCGATGTGCCTGTGAACATTAATATTCTGAATTCGGGAGAGTGGTAACAATGTCCGTTGTGCCGTAAACAACATCTTGAGATATCCCAGAGAGCCTGTAAATGGTCGATTATGATCCGTAAGGCGGAACGTGACGGACAAGTCGCTGACACATTTCCAATTGTATCGATTTATATTTAATTATATATGCCTGTAAGAAGAGAGAAACGCACGCAAAAAAATGTCTCACAGAAATGTTTGAATTTTTTTTAAAACGCCTGTACTTTCAGATTTGCAATCGCATATATATGAATATCAACAATTCTTTTAACGAAATTTAGTTTATTCAAAATTCTCAAAAATTAATTATGTATATAAGCGAAAATTTTACTTTTTATGTTAACAAATTACTCTGTAAATGAAGCGTAACAAGTAAATTTTTAATTATAATTTAGCTCTCTCTCTCTCTCTGTATTTACAAAAAATAGTGAAGTGGTATACGTTCATTAATATACTTCATTTATTTAAAAGAGAAATTATTTTTTACGAAAGCTGGAATCTGTCGACATCCCGCTTTTGCATTTGAGAAATCTACAACCAATAACGCGAGATTATTTCCATAACATTTGCGAACGGCTCACGTGCAAGAACGCCGGCTAATGTCATTAGATAATTAAACCCGGGAGAAAGGGAGAGAGAGGCAGGAATCGAGGAGTTGTTACGATCGTCTGCAATTGCACTAATAATTGAAATCCACAGTCGGAGAGACGCGTAACTACCGGCAATAACGTTTTAACGATTCGAGAGAGGAAAGATAAGGAAAGTGCCAATCTGTGCGACAAAAATGAATTTTTCCATGTCTCGGCGTTTCCTGTTAGAGTCGTATTTTAATAATCGCGTGACGAGTTGTCCCAGCCTGATAGGTTCGACTTGAGAACATCTAAAATCCAGAAAAATTGTTCGAGTCGACCTACAAGTTTTCCCATTCAATGATTAATTGGCGCGTCCGACAAACCGATCGTACAGTAACTGAAATGTCAGTTACGCTGAGTAAAAGCTATCTGATTCGCTGGAAAATCTCCAAACGGGCGAGAGATCGACGCGACTTCGCGTGGAACTTCTTCTCGGATGAGATCCTCCAGGGTAGAGAATGCTCTGTCGTCCGCCATTTCATCGGCGCGGAGAGAAAACGCGTTTGTCGGCGGCGTTTGCGCGCCGGGCGCACCTCGAGTTTAGCCGACGTTAAAGCGGAAATGCAACGACGGCACCGTTGAAAGGGAGGGGGTTGGGGGTGATAGGGGAAGAAGAGAAGCACAGAGAAAGCTGGGCGGCGGAGGGAGAGGCGGGAGAGATTAGGAGCGGGCGTACGAGCTACGAGGTAGATAGAAGCGCGCGAGAAAGAGGTAGGTGGAGTAAAAAGGCGACGAGAGAGATAGAGCGAGAGACGAGAAAACGTAGGAGGAAGGCGGTAGTCTCGATGTTCTCCTCCTCTTGGATCGTGGAGGGCGTATAGTAATGTTCGAGTTGGCAGACTCGGGGTCGAGTGGGGGGTCTCTCCCTCCGTCTATCTGTCTCTCTTTCTCCTTCGTTCTCTTCTCGGAGTGTCTCTCTCTCTCTCTCTCTCTCTCTCCTCCGTTATACCTTTCCACCTGTTATGCGACGCCGTGCCATGCTGCGTTGGCACAGGTGTGCGCGATCGCGTAGCCAGCGACAAGGCCCGCACGCTCTCCTCGATCTCCTCGGTCTCTAGTCTCCCACCTCTCCGACCTTTCTCTTCCACCTTTCTGTATCTCGTGTCTGTTTCGCTCTTTCTCTCTTCCTCTCCTTCTTTCTCTTTATCCCATGCACCACCGGCTCGATTCCCGTCTTTCCCGGCGAACGAGCAGACCGATCGCGCGTGGGCGGCGAGGATCGCGTTCCCCTCTACCCCGAGGCGCTTTCGTGATTCTACCTATACGTTCGGCTGCACCTGCAGCAGAACTGTCACGCCCAGTAGCTCGATCACAGCCGACCTGCTGCACCGTAGACTTTCTCCCCAAGTCGTATTCTTCTACGCCAAAGGCGTCGCGTCGTTTCAACGACGGAAAATCGTACACTTTCATACGTATCACGCATACATATATGAACGCCTTGCTCACCATCAGGCATGAGATTTTTATGCAGTAAAAATGACAATATGAAATATACTGTCCGAGAGAAAATCCAGTCGTAAACAAACACTCAGCAGTTCAAAAGGTTTTCATTTCGTCTGGTCAAAGATGTTAGAGTACACTCAGGCAGTACAGTCTCTTTGCGAACGAAATTTAACCCCTTCCCCCTCCCCCTTCCTCCCCCTCTCGTCTTTTCCCGCGGACGCACGTAAAAAGCAAATTATCTCATCTGTGTGTATATGGCGGGACGTGTATATTTCTCTGAAATAAATTTTCGTTCCTCATAAATTACCAACTTGCCAAACACGCGACGCAGCTGCGCGTGAAATTAGTACATTAACACGTTTCGCTGTACTACTTTTACATATTTTAATAAGAATTATGGTTAGCGCGTATTACCAATGAAATACATGCATTAACCGCGTGCGAAAATCTTCATCATATACGATTCCGGGGAAAAATCCGCGGTTGGAAATTTCAATTTTTGAAATCTAAACAACCCTTGCCCATCTAAACAGACTTGCAACACTCGATAACGCGTTTTGCGGAATTTTATTTGATTACTCTTTAATTTTATATCTCCTCTGCCAGTTTGAATATTATTATAACGCTGGTAAAAACGTATGTACATGTAACGAGTCAGCTTTGCCACGTGCGTATTTTATAACAAAATATGCTTTAAAAGAAATCCAAGGAGAGATTGAAATGACGGTGACATATAATAAGTGTCCCTACAAAAACGAAAATGCGATCAAAATTTGCATGCCGTGAAATAATTAACGATATAATCATATTCAGGACGATCGTTAGATTTCTCATTAGTCATTAGGATATACAGGTGAATGTATAATTATGTAAATAACTGTTAACTTTTAATTATACTTTGCCAATGACTTTTGAGCCGCAATATTAAGCAACTTGTTTATTAAATTCTTTCATCAAGACCATCGATTAATCTATTATAATTTATGAGAGACGATAAAAATATTATATAAATGCAATAGTAGTACGCAAATATCGTACGTAACATCAGTAAACTATAATAATCCATGTATGTAACAACAAATAGTTTGAGGAGTACATTAATATATACTTATATGTATGCGCACTGTAAAATCATTTATACATTTGTATGCTCTCACGTTATTATTATTTTATATATACATGTATATATATTTATTTATCAGAGATGTATAATCTGTCGCACG